ACTAGGTACCATTAATTGGGCCTTTAATCTAAATGGTCTAAAAACAGGGCCCCAAAATGTCAGGGCTCGCTCTTCTAGTCTTTAAGGAATTTGGAATCTCAACAAGACTGGAAAAGTGTGCCTGGGATTTTTTGGGGTAATAATGAGTCATTCAACTGATTTTAAATCTTGGATTCTGGTGTAGATTTAGATTTTCTGTCAAGCGTGAATCCAGTGTTGGCAGAAAATCTAAAAAATTGGACTAGATGGTCTATTTTTGGTCTGTCTGTATGTCAAAAAGTAGACCATCTAGATTGACAGGAATGACCCATTGATTTCCAACAGCCGACAAGAAGGAGGTAGTAGCAGGTCTCACAACTTTTTGTTGTCTGATGGGTCATCCTCAACAAGTGGGATGCTTTGTGGGTCCATTTCAAGGAACAGGGATCTACTATTTTGAGTTAGCTAGTACTACTTGTGATTGCAGAACAAGAGTTAGAAGAATATGTCCTCTTGTTGTTGATGAAGCAGTAAATTTCTGTGTTTTGTCATCAAGTTTTTGATGGGTACTACTACTACTATCGTTAATATTAATAGTAGTACTAGTAGTTCCAGCAAAGTATCCAAACTGGGGGTCACTTGACTTCTTCTTGGGTCAAAAAATATAAGGAATTGTTAATGTTGGTGTTTGACCAATCAGGTAGGAGAGGAGCTACTATCATGTACATGGGTGATGGTGGAGCTGTTGTATGATGGTAATGGTGGAAGTATTTGAGCACCAATGGACTAGTAGATGTTCTGATGAAGAGGTGGTGATGGTGGCCATGAAGTAAAACTTGTACAAAAAAAGGTTGCTTTGTCACTTTGCATATCATTTGCAGTAAAATTATCAATGCAACAAACATGGCAGATGTGATCCTCATAGTAGGTTTGTAAATAGATCCATTCCTTTTGCTATGGGAGACATTGTTGCTAGGTACTAGTAATATTCAATGCATAAAAATACTTTGTTCCACTTGTCATATGGGACTTCTCTTTGGTGACAACAACAAAGGATTGCATCTTCTGAGGCTTGTCTTCTGGTGTACTAGTAGGATTAGATTTGTCATCAATTTGGTCATGATAAGTGAAGGTAAATGTTTCTGCAATTTTTTTGAATGACAGCATCATTCCTTGTATAATATCATTGAACTGCTGTTGATTCTGTACTAATTAAAAAGGAACAATCATCATATCCCATACAATGTTTGAAGAAAATCAGGAGAAGGGTGGTACTAGTGGATCTTGGATTTGTCACCAGAAAAGGGGTCTATCTTGGGATCATCATTATCCCTGTTGTAAATATTACTTTAAAGTGAGTGTGGACAGCAACATAATGCTAGTAGTAGTAGTAGTAGTAGTAGTAGTAGTAGTAGTAGTAGTAGTAGTAGTAGTAGTAGTAGTAGTAGTAGTAGTAGTAGTAGTAGTAGTAGTAGT